TTTTTCCATCCTGTCCCTTCTTTCCATTTTTAATTTAAATGAAAGTGCTAACTCCCAGGTCAGGGTTAGATACAAGCACTTTGTTAATCCAAAGAGGCTCCCAATGAGAGGGGTGACATCATATTTAAGTACATCACAGTCATGTTGAGCTCCATAATGTCCACGGCACTTAACTTAAAAGATCCTTTGTTGTAACTTAAATTCCACCTCCTCTAGACTGCAGACATCCTCCAAAGTCACTTAATTTGTCTTTTACCCCCGACACCTGGCAGACTGCTGCAGCGTGAGTCCAGTGAATGTCTTCTGAATGCAACTTTTAGGTCTATAGGCCCATGAATCCTTGTTCTTTCTTTCTTTTGCATGGCACAACAATGGCTATGCAATTACTCTCAAAGCCATTCTCTATTTGCTTGTAATTCTTCTAAGATTTTGTTTATGTTTACTTCACTTGGAATTTATTTTTGTAGGCAGTGTGGCAATATGATTTTGCCTCAATCTGAAATGCCACTTTTAACATACACTGTTTCCCACTGACTATGAATTCTGTTTATTCTATGATTGTCTATTACTGTGCTAGTACCATGCTGTTTAAATGATGGTAACTTTTGAGGATACTTTAGTAAGAAAATTTCTTCCATACCATCCAACTCAACTATTCTTTTATGGTACTGACTTGATTTTTTCACATGTTCTTCCAGATAAAATTTGTCTTAAATTTAAGTTTGAATATATAAACAAACACAAATGAAAGCAACTGAGTTGAATGGAACGTTGGCCCCCCAAATTTTTTTTAAATACATATATCTATACACATTTTTTGAAAGATCAATCCCTCAAAACTATTTCTTATATACTGGGTTTACCTCAATGTGTTCAGCTCTCTTTTTATATTGATTTGTAAAGTTATACAATTTTTTTTCATATTGAGCTTATACAATGCACACTAGATTATTTCTCATTATCTTATCATGTTAGAAGAAATAGGAACCTATATTCGACTATATTGTCTACTATAATTAAGGAAAACTTTTAAAAATTCTTTTATATTCAGCTATTTTATTGAACTCATATTTACTCATTCAGTTGATGCAGTAGCTATTGAGAGTTTGTCACTATTTGGTTTCCAGCACTTCCAGCAGTCTAGCTGCATTTCAAGCAGGAAGGAGAATAAAGGTAACAGATAGGAAAAACATAATAGATAGTCTGACTTGTCTCCTTTTCTAGTTTTATAAGGATCCCATTACATGTTTTTTACCTGCACTCACTGGCCAGAATTACCTACATCTACAACCATTACTCACATTATTGCTTCCCTCAAGTTAGAATTTTCTTAGTAAGGAAGAAGGGGAGAGTTCTGAATAGACACCTGCCAGGTCCTGCCTTAGATAAAATTCTTGTCCGTATGGAGATTTTCAAAGAATTGAGAGCTCATTCCATTGGTGATTTTACTCAATTTCATGGCAATAAGTACAATTATATCCTGGTGACTATCAATTTTATATTGCCAACCCAGACATCTTTTCTAAAACACAGGCTGCAATAACCAACTGCCTATGTGGCTTCTCCACCTTAAGTATTGCCCCCTTTACCCCCCAGAATTGACTCCTGTCATCCCACAGCTTTCATCATCATCATCTTAAGATAGAAATTTCACCCTCTGCTCACTTAGGCCAAAAATCATCTTAAAATCTGTCTCTCATCTTACATACCAGGAGACCCTGTTTGGCTCTTTCTTGTAACTATAACCAGAATCCCACTTCTTTTCACTGTTGCTATCACTACCATTTTGGCCTAAGCCACCATGAGTTGCCTGCATTACTATAAACGCTCCAAAAACTCTCCACATAATCCTTCCTGAATTCTCATTTCTTTGACTTCCTCATGAATTATTTTATCTTGTCTCCACCTCTGTTATTGTTCCTATCATCATTCTTTACTCTTTGTAAAACTGCAGCACCCAAAACTATAACTTCAAAATAAAGCATCCCACTTTTCATAATCACTCTTTTCCACACATGACGTTCTTTTTTAGTCCCACTCTTAACATTCCTGCAATTTCCTCAGGCCCATTAATTTTATCCATTTTCACTACTTGCCCTCAATATCCTTGCCTTTGTACTCACTTGGCAAACCCCAAACCCACATAGTTGATATGACTGAGGGAGACTATATAACCAAGCCAAATAAATCTTACATTTCATTCATGACCATTAATCTGAAGTGAAATATGCAACACTGCCTAAAAATCATCCTATTTCTCTAGGGTTTTGACTCTCTTTTCATTTTCTTACCTTCTCCTTTCTTTTCAAACCTCTAATTCCCTTTTCCTCAAAGTCTTCAGTCTCATATGATATTTCTTCATATTTCAGTGAGGAAAAGAGACCTTTCATTAGCTCCATCATCATATCATCCTAAATACACCTTGTGTCCACATATTCCATCTTCTCTTTCATTAATATAGATGAACTCTTTGCATTCCTACTTAAATAAATCACTTATATACTAGATTCTGATTTCATTACTCAAGGGTAGTGTTGTAGTTAGTAATTCTTCTCTCTTTACCCTGCACCAAACTATCCTGTTTTACTGGATGATTTTCATTTATATATTACGTCTTCTGTCTTGTAAAAATATAAAATTCTCTTGACATTTTCCTCTTTCAGCCATTGTGCTATTTCTCTTTTTCTTCTACTTCCATCTCTTCTTCCTGAAAATATCAGCTATATTATCTGTCAGCAACCTAACTCCTCCTGCTCTTTTATAAACCCACTCCAATAAGGCTCTCATCCCCACCATCTGTCAGTAGTAATTCTTGTTAAGATCAATGAAAGAATCCTACTTAACTTCTGGTCATCTTCCACATCTCAGTCAAACGCCATTAAAACATTTTCTGATTTTTCTTATTAGATCAATTTACTTATAGATGATATGACCATAATACTGCTTAGCCTGCAGTATTTTGTAATTTTACATTTTTATGTGATCCTGCAAGGGGGAAAGGATATCCTAAACGAACTCACTGGGTTGCCCTGTAGCAATTCTATGATTACGGATTCTTAGTTCCTCAGCAGACTCTCAATAGACTCTGTAAGGGTAGAGATAATAATGTCCTATTTTTCTATCATAACTGTATGGTTAGTGTAGACAGCACAACGTCTGTGTTAGGCCCAGGGAGGCCCAGGGGAAGTTAAGGACCACCTCAGGGCAGAAACTTAAAGACCCAAAACCTGCCCAGTGACTAAGCATCACCTGACGACAGCAGGAAAAAGGGCCCCCAAAAGTCAGTAGCACGAAAACAAGAAGAAAAACAACTCCAAATAGGACAAAGTGTCCCTCTAAGCTGGTCCACCCCATAACTATATACAAAGCCTGCTTTTCGCCAGTACCATTGCAATACCTACCATACACGTGTGTGTGTATTGCCCGAGAGTGCAATAAACTTCCTTCTTTGACTCTTGCTCTTGTCTCTCTCTCTTTCTTACTCATCAAACCTTTTAGACTGGTATGTAGGAGAACACCAATAAATTTCTCGGAGAATGAATGCTTCATTGTCATTGTCTCCATTTTATACTGGGGATGAGGAGGCCCAGAGAAGCATGGATACAGCTCAAAGTTACAATATAGATTACTGGTCAAACAGAGACCAAGATGAAACAAACCTACTACCAAACACCATGCTATATTCTGGGGTTACAAAGATGAGATATCAACTCTCTTTTCTAGCCTAGATCTTAAAAAGTGTCCATCATGTTTGGGCTGAACAGGGCAAAACCACAGCCTAATAGAATAACTGGTCCCCCTTGTGTCCACAAGAAGTTAATTAACAAGTCAACAGAGCTGCTTTACACTGTTAATTACTAAGGTCTCCTATAATCAAAATTCCAGGGGAGAGGCGCTCTGCACAAACATTTATTTAAAAACATATATAAGGTTTTAGAATAGATCTCTTGAGGTACATATTTCTCATCACTAACATACACATCATGAATCAGGAAGAACACTTGGAAGAGCAGGAAAATCAAGTTAAAATATTACATTCCATTGATAGTTGAAGATCAATAAAAGAGAGAATATATTCAGAAATGAAATTATCAGGAAAACTACTTGAGTTTATACAACTCTTGAGTAATCAACTGTATTAAAAAAGATCTATACACACAGGCAGGGCACCATGGGAATAAAAAGAGGCACTCTTATAAAAGTACGCTAGGGTAACAACTCTATCAGGACTGTCACAGCAAGTAAGCAGGACAGGTCATCTTCTTGAACAACCATCTTTTACCTATCACATAAGGAAAAAAAACAGATGTCCATTCAGTTATGCAAATGATTCCATAGGTAATTCAACAAAGGCAGTAATAGTGTTAATAGACAAGACCAATATGGATTTTATTTAAATCATTTGACCTGAATGGTTATGCTAATACTTACCAATTCCCACCGAATAAAAAACAGTCAAGAGTCACTTACTTTCTCTGCTTGTTTTTCTTGCTCCACCTTCACTATATTCAGTCTTGAAAAAGACCATTTCCATCCCCTTTTGAAGCTTAACCTTACTGCTTAAGAAAGATGAAATTCTGGGCCCTCTCTCTGATGGCACAACAGGTTAAAGCATAGCACTATGAAGCTATAGCAGCCACTGCAGCATGAGTTTGATCTCCAGCCAGGGTGGTGATCCTCTCCTAACCTGCCTGCTGCTCTCCTCAGCAGTGTATTTCAGTCCATCCACCTGTTTTGATCCCCATTCTGTCTATGGTGAATCCTCTCACCACCCCCACACCTCTGGTGTGTACCCCAGTTCTCTGTGCATAAATAAATAAATCTTAAAAAAGATGAAATTCTGTGCCACATCAAACAAAATCACATTTTTCAAGTTTCAGAAGCTTCTCTCTTCCCCAAAGGCATACCTTGTTCATATGAAATGTGCATGAGTAAGTGTCACATCTTTAATCAAGATCAACTCCTGGGTCATTCACTGAATCAACATAGCAAAAACAAGATCATGAGTCATAAACTTTATTGTAAGGGTCTGTACATACATCCTCAGAGAAATGTTTTGATCCATTCACTTGATGATTATATCAAGATCTGTTCTGTTCTGTCATGGTCATGAACACATCCAAAAGTCCTGATTATAAAGGTCCGTAAAAAGGAAGGATTAAGTATTGCCAGTCCTACTATGTCAAGAAATACTGTACAATTCAAATCAGTAAGATAGTTCCATACAAGTTCAGCAAGGGATGTTGGCAAGTAGAAGTGAAACAATCTGCTATACAAAATGCAAAAGGAGTCAAAAGATGAATTACAAAAAATAAAATTTTGGTCAGAAAATCATTACTACATAAAGCCATTTAAAGATGTCTATTGGTTTTCTTCTTCAAGAGGAAAAGAAATCCAACTGTTAGTTTGCTATTTATTCGGAAGGAAAAATAAGAAAAGTATTTAGAAAGTACTTCTTATATTAAGTGACTTTCTTCTCATCTGCTAGCTAGAATTCACAAACATCTAATTCTTAGAAGTGAGAAAATAAAATTAGTGTTTGGCCTTCAGTGAGTCCCTCACAGCACTCGAATGAGGTCCAGAGTAATCCTAGATCGGGGAATATCAATGTTGAGTACTCGAACTTCCACTCTTTCTCCAGGGCCTAGTCCGAGACTCCTTCTTTTCTTTGTTTTAGAAAGTTTTGCTTCTGTTACATTTCGTATGGGAATCAAACCTGATCTCCCCACTCCTATATCAACAAAAATTCCAAAAAGAGTGGCATTCTCAACTTTGCCTGTAAGAACTGTTCCAACCTGCAGATCTTCCAGGCAGACTATGCTTCTCTTGAAATCAGGTTTATCAAAATCTACAAGAAAAGGGGTGGGGAGGTTGAAAAGACAGTGTACATAATAAGCCATTGTACTTCACAGACATAGCATAATTAGTAAATCAGTATTTACTAAGTATCAATTGTGTGCCAGACTAGTATTAAGCATGAGGAGCATATAAGAATAGGATGCAAAAGTTGATGAAAACATAGACCTACCTTCAGAGAAAATACATCTTAATTGGAGAAATGGCATTCACACAGTAGAAGCCATGCAAGAAAATTTATTCAGTTTCTTTTCAAACTCTGTTTGCTAACCCATGAACATTAGCATTATAAAGATATGAGGTGATAAGAATATGTATTTTTTGTTCAAGAATATTCAAGGTTAAGTCATAAACAGTGAGGTTTATGAAGGTTTATTCTCCTATTAGATAGGAGATTGGGTTTTTTCCCGTAGTATCTGAATTGCTTAAAGATGGCAGAAAGGGCATCCATCAACTTTTGGTCAGACAATGTGGATGAAATGGAAATGTTCTCTCCCCACCTTCTCCCTACAAATCTGGAACCTGGGAATTCAACTACTATCAATTTTAAATGTATTGATCCAGTCAAAATGTATGGAGTCTTGGCTATTTAAGGCAAAGAAACAAAGATCAGCTAGTACCAAATCTACTTTCAATTAATCAAATATTTATTGATTCCTATTATCATTTCCTGGTCAAGCACTCCTTTGCATGCTAGTGATACACAGCTGAAGACCTAAAGACATTTTTGTTCTCAAGTTCTGTACAACCCTCTCTTCTTGTTCATCAGGGGTATTTTTCTATGCCCATTAACACTATCCCCTTGATGGTGGACAAATTATGCCAAGGAATCTTTCTGGCTCTATGTAAAACAAAACAAAAACAACAACAAAAGTTTTAGGGGAGAGAAAGTTAGAATTAACAATTTAAAAGGGGCTTTTGGATTATCTGGGATTCCATTTATCCATGCTCTTTTTGGCCCCCTTTCCTCGGATTACTGAATGTTGATTCTAATAACAAAGAACACATTCTAGGCTTGGATCTCTTTTTACTAAGACCTCATTTTCCCCTCCACCCATTCCATTTCCTTTTCCTCCACAGCTGTTGGCTTTATCCTGATTACTTGTTAAAGCTATCCTTTACATTTGTATTAACAACTGGTCATCGCTTTGTTCCCCTCCCCCACCCCAACCATTCTAAAATCAAGACTTCTTAAAAATTCACCTTTTTTCTGTTTAAAATGCTCTTTAAACCTCAAATCTCATTTCCCCCATAAAAAAAAAAATGTTAAAATTGGAATTGATCTGTATAACATCACCTGATGCTGAAGCAGTGAATTCCAAAAGCAAGAAACCTCCAGTAATATAATATTACACTGGGCAGGACTTTGTCAAAGCAAAGTAAAACTAAGTAGTTCATCAGAGTAGAGGAAGGATGGTCGCAAAACCCCATCGGCATTGTTTTTATGCTTGGAAACTCTTTTCCCCCCTTTTCTTGCAGAGGTCCAGCTGCTATAGATTTCCCAAGGGTTCCTGATCAGCTGCTTAGTTTAATTTTGCATGGAAAATCAGAGTCAGGAACTACTTAATATGTTCCTGAAGACAGCCTGGGCCAGTGAGAAATCAGAAAATCCTTTATGTACCATGCAAACGTTACACTTTGATAGCCAAGGCTCTATATATTCTATCCCCTGTCACCAGATTGTTTCTGATGAACCCACTCACAAAAACTAACAGCTAAGTGTTAATAAAATAGAATCAATTATGTCACTGAGAAGCAAAAACAGGATGATTTGGAGGAAAGGTTGAGACACCACGGAAAGAAATACGTCTGAGAAAAGAGAGAAAAGAGATGTAATATAAGTGTTTTAACACAGAAACATCCAATAGTCAAGAGTATGACTATCTGCCTTCCTCCTTGGGGATGTTTAAAAAATAAAGTTCTCAGACGTCTTAAAAAATTGAATCTGACATTATAGCAAAGGTCAATTCTAAAGTGTGTTTAAAGAAACTGATTTGAAGTTTCACTTGTCACACTGCAGTGCCTGGTAAGCTCACGCTGGAGCTCAGGTACCACTGTGTTTGCTCAACTAGGGGCATCACCAAGTGGCCCTCTACTTAACTGTTGGTTATTTAATTAAATAATGTAATTTGAGTGTTGATCTTCAAGCTGAGTCAACAGTGTAACGGATAATGGAGCAATGAACACATGACAGAAAATCAAACACTGACAAGAAAATCCAGAACAGGACACCCACAGCCAGAGACTACTTGCCAGCCCTCTACAGGGGTGATTCTAGGCATTCTCCCTCAAACCCCACCCTATTTGAGAACCACTGTTATCCTTAGTATTCCTGCTAAACAACACATAAAAGGCCATAAAAAGGAGAGAATTTGTCAACTGAAAGAACCTCCTTGGATGCATCACCTGGAGGCTTCTGTGCATACCTTTCCGTACAGGTCATATTGGATATTCTATTTTTCTCCAACCTTTCCCCCCAAACTTATAGAAAAGTTGAGGGAATACAATGAGCTTACTGGATAATTTTAAAATTCCCTTATTAAATTTTTTCAAAGCAGCATGTCTAATCACCTTAAAAGGCCTCACCCAGAATGCAAAGCTGGGCCCTAAACACATTATTGTAAAACCAACTATGAAACAAGTGCATGGATTCATTTAAATCTCAGGGCTTCCTCTTCAAATTTCCTTGGGAAGTAAGTCATCTGATACCTTAATTCTTTCTCACCAGGTCGTTGCTCTCAACAGCTATGAATGTTATACTTCCCTTACCATCCACCTGTGTTGAAAGTTGAGAGCATGTTTAATTACAAGGAAAATCAACATGGAGATGGTATCTTATTTGTTCAATGTATTCGATGACACAGAATCCAGGAACTTGGAAGGCTGTAATTTGGAAAGATTCACTTTTTAGTTTGTGAACTAAATGATTTAGCTTGGACTTCTGGTGCCTACAATGTTAAAACAGCCTATAAAAGGATCATGCAAAACCTGTGCTTCATGTACACAGCAGCAAATGTGTGATGTGTTTAGTCTTCTGTACATTGATAATGGGGATGGGAATCTTGAGAGCTGGCATCTGGCTTGGGCTGTGGGTACTCACCTTGAAGAAAGGTCACTATCTTTAGTTTTCTTCTCTATAGAATGGAGAGTAATGCATGGGGGTTGCTGTGAGGGTGACAAGAAGAGCGGAGGACAATGCAAAGGAAAGGTCTATTCAGGTTCAATTGTTTACCTGTTCGAAAGTCAAAGCTTTCAGGTTGGCTGAGACCATCCACGATGACTTGTAAGGTGTGCACTGTTGTTTGCAATCTTGCTGCAATTTTCTCTATTCCTTCTTTTTCAAGGAATAGATTCACTTTTTGTTGCATTTCTGGCTTCCCAATCTCACACAATGTTCCTCCAAAGAATGATAAAAACCTGCAAGAGGAATTAAAAAAACTTAATACTTATTAATATTATTTACTTTCTAATCTTCTACAGGTCACCTTAAAGTCTATCCATTTCAGATCCATATAGCAATTAATCATTCTTCACTGAAAATCTACTATGTGTCAGGTCCTCCCTGGTGGCACAAGGAGTTAAAGCACAGCACTATGAAGCTGTCACAGTCACTGCCAGGGAGGCGACCCACATGGCTGGCAGACCTCTCCTGACCCACCCGCTGCTCCCCTCAGCAGTGTATTTCAGTACATCTGTCTGTCCTGCTCCCCACTCTGTCTCTCATCCCATCCCCACATTTCTGGCATGTATCCCAGTTCTGTATGTATGAATAAATGAATCTTAAAAAAGAAAAGAAAATCTGCTAAGTGTGCCATGCTGTGTAACAGATGATCTGTCCGGGGAGAAAGAAAAAGAGACTAGATTTAGTTTCTTATGCAAGTTTCCACTGGAGCACCTGTTTAGAATCTGTATCAGAAATATTTCAGTTTAATGTTCACTAGAGTTTAGTGTCATATAGTTTCTAAATAAGGATAACTATATGTACTTCATGTTTCCTATAATCTTAGTGAGGAAAAATTGGTTGAATTTAGTGAATAGGCAAAGAATTGATGATGTCAAAGTCTAGCAAAACAATCCAGTAAGAATGGTCAGTGTTTGATAAATGTGTCAGATCCCTTTTTTTTTTTAACTTCTGTGCATCCATGATGATAGTGTTGTCTGTGCAACACCATCAGCCTAGTAATTCTCAAATTCCATCAATAGTCAAGCCAAACATGGACAAAATTATATCAAAATACATTAAGTATTCACAGTTAACAGAAAAAATATGGAAAGGGATATCAAAAGAGAAAAAGTAATTTTCTTCCAAAATGGAAGCAAGTTAGACCCCAATTACATAACCTTAATCTGAACATTATACATACTATACATTATGTAGTTGCAATATTTATAGAATAAAGATAAGTGCTTTTCTCCATTTCCTTTTTTTATGGCTACCATTTTCCTGGACTGCATAGCTGCCTCTCAATTACTGTTTTGGAATGCAGTAATAAATTAAGAAAAAAAAATAGAGGACTAACTGCATTTCCCTTCAATTTCATCTGGATATTGAACTGTATCTTACTTATTTGACATTCCTTGACTAGGTATTCTTTTACATCATTTAGTTCTATTTTTTATGGTTAATGGCACTTTTAAATTGTCAACACTGTAATCAGACAAGTAGTGTTACTAATACCCTCAAATCCTTTCCTCTAAAGAAATCTCTGGAAGACAAAAAAGGGTGGGGCATACTGGAGGCATGGCTATCCAGAGTTGGGATGTAACCCATTTGGCAGGTTGCTGCATCATCACAAAAGGAATGCTGCTATTTCCAGACTTTTTTATTTTTTGAATTGTGTGTCTTTCAGAGTCGGCATCTTCAGTGATGAATCAGTACTGATAATATGGTTATCTGGTAAAGAGAGCATTTAACTAGGGTGTCCTACATTTATACAGCTGTATTTCTGATCAAAACTGATTCACAAAACTCAACCAATTCTCTTGAGAATATATTTTGGCTAGTGTTCGAACGCAAGACCAAGGAATACGGGCTTGGTGTCCACCTTTGGAAATAAGCTTCCACTCTAACTGTTGGCCAACGAGATGCATACTTGAAGTGTTTGCCTGGGACTTCCCCAGCCCCCAGAGAGGCAGTCGCTATCTGTTAGTGCTGATGGATGAGCAGTAGCACATAAGGGCCTTGGTGACATGGAGCAGCTGTTGGTGCTCTGACTGACAGGGAGATGACACACAGACAACTTCTGCCCACAGTCAACTTCCTTACACAGCTTTCTAAATAACATATGTCCTGCTGGGCAGGCCTCCCTGGTATTTACCCTTTTGGCTTCATAGGTCTGCAACTGGCTATTTAGCAGAACATCTTTCAAATCCGCACTATTCTGACTCACGATCAACTGTTAAAATGAAAAATAAATTTAAAGAGGTATATTTATAGACTATAAATCTAGAACCTTGAATAACATTTTATAATTAAGGAAAGTAACTAAATAGCAGAAACTTCCCCCAAAGCACATACAAGCCTCTCTTTCAATAATAGAAATACTGGCTCAGGAGGCCACTTGGAGTCTTATGAGTATGGGTGTGTGTGTGCGTGTGTATGTATGTAACTAACTAACTACTACCAAAGTCACTTCCATATAAAGAAATTCTGTTTATAGTGGTTACAGATGTAAGAAGAAAATTGGTCTGGTTAACCTGGGTGCATATTTCAGATATCATTTTCATTTTTACACACATAAGCCTGAAGGCACTGGTAAATGAAATCGATTAAAAAAAAAAAAAGCACCAACGTGTGTTCCTAGCTAATGCATCATATTGATCAACCCATACTGAAAACAGTCAAATGCTTTTTTAATTTCACAAGCTTTCTTAAAGTTACAATCACTCTGCAGAAAAAGAAAAATAGCAAACAGAAGGAGAGGGGGCTTTAGATAGCATGCAGACTGAACTCTGGCTAAATAGACTTCAAACATAGTCAACTGTAAAGGCTGATACAAGACAGTGTTTTACCGCAGTAGCCACTCAATAAACGTCTTTTAAATATTCTAAGAAATATCTATTTTGTAAACTGTGAGCTTTCACTCTAGTATTGAGTGTGGTAAGCAACCTCTAATGCAAAGTTTTACTTTAGAATTTTAGTAGTGAAAAATAATAGCAATATAAAGTATTTTCTGGCTCAAAAGTACCATATAGAAATATACTGTACTCTTTGAAGCCTGGAACAATATAAGTTAGCACGTACTGATAAGGCATTAGGCATTATGTTAGGCATTATGTGAGTGCTTGATATCTGTTCTCATTTCACTTTGAAAAGATTCATGAAATTTAGGTATCATATTATATAGAAAAGTAACATTGAGATTCATGGAGGTTAATAACGTCCCCAAGGTGACACATTATATTCCTAGAATCTGGAGTTTTGTGGCTTATATGTCTGTCTGTGTCTGCTGATGACTATAGTTATGTCATAATTAAAGTGCTCTATCTCAAACTATAAAACAATAGGTTTAGTCATATTTCACCAACACAATTTAATGGTAGATTGATTTTGAACTTTGTTAGTTAACAATGATAAATGCCCCAAAGAAATTATTATATTCATGCCTTTAAGAGGATGATTCTATCAAAAGTCTTATGTCCACAGACCCACATGTCTCTGGAAGGCTTTTTGGTTTGCTAAGGACTGCTGCTGTTTTTATTTAATATGTAATTTCATCCATCTTACTTAAAGTAAGAAAGTAGCATAAATGCAACAAATAAGCACATCATGTTCTTTTAGCACACATCTGCACAAAGTTAAAATATAGACCATGCTGCAGAGATAATGCTTACTTTTTGAACAGAATGGTATATAAATTAAAATTGTTGATATTTTCAACAAAAACTTATTACAAATGCCAGCCTTTCTCTTCAAAGAGTAAGAAAATTCTTTGTAAGATTTTTCCTGAAGAATAAGACATTCTCAAGATTCATAACACTTCAGATACAGCTCTTCAGCTTTATGTAAAGATGCCAGCCTGGAGAAAAATATTTCAGAGCCCAAGACTCAGTTCATTACATTACAGCAACATGATACCTCATGGGGCACAGAAGAACCAACCACCATGCTACCAACTCCCTCACTTTAAAAACAACTTAATATTGGCCTGTGCTTGGTGGGCCAAGCATTCAGATTGTAGCTCCACAAAGAAGCGTGCTGCAAGGACAAAGTACCTCTAGTTGTCTCTTCACTCTCAATCAACACTTTTAAAAGAGATCTGTGTTCTTGTTTATTTTTATGTATTAGTTTCACTCAGTTTAAGAGAAATGACATGAATAAACAAAACATTAAGTGGAAGAGCACAGTCATTTTAGAAATCAATAATATAGACAAAGCAGGTTAGAATGTGTAATAAAGTAACTTGATAACAAATAATTTAAAAGGAGAGTTTATATTCTGAAAGAAAAACCAGCCTTAACTTCAGTAATAATTTGTTACATGAAATCCACAGATACTATATGGGTTTGAAAATTTACTTCTCTTGCTATCAAAGAGTGAATATAAACTCCATGTGACAAAGGAGAAAAACCTGCCACTCCTTTTACACCACCTACTGGGAGCTGAATTTATATAAGTGAGCATGGACCCAAGCACACTGAGCTGAGCTTATCCAGTGTGCTGGCTTTACCACATCTGCTATTTTAGTAGTTGGACCACAGGGGCAGCAGTCTGAATTGCAACTGGCTACTTAGCAGAGGATAATCATCATCAGAGAGTCTTTTCAAACTTCTAATCTCTTAAACTGATCCTTAAAAATCTCTGCTGGTGCAAAATTCACAAATAATGGAAAATCCAAGTAGAATGCATATGTTGGAGTGGCCCAGAGAATCACCTACTGTATTGCAGAAACCAGAAGGTATCCGGTGAAGATTAAAAAGGTTTTTCTTAGCATATAATCAACAACAGAAAGTTATAGTTATTTTTTCACAAGAACTTACAGATGATTGGTTTTTGAAAACTTATATACTGCAGATAAACTTAAAAAAGTAAGCCTTTCAGAAAAGGTAAGGGAGTTGTTCTGACAGCCCTTACAGAGTTGAGCCTGGGGGCATAGTTTTAAATGGTCAACGGTCAGCTGGGTGGTACCATTTGGAACATCTGTGGACTACCTGCATCTGAACACATTGTTGTATCTATGAATAGCAGAAAAAAACACACAAGAACTCAAAAGGTGATGCTGTTATAGATCAAGGAATATGGTTTTAGTTTTTAAGCATCAGACTGTTACCTACTTCTTTCACTTTCTCAAAAATTTAGTAAATGTTTAGATTTTTGTTTTTCAAAGATCTGTTATAAATGCACAGAAACTAAATACTCGATGCATGCTGTATGTAACACAACAGATCCTTAGAAAGCTGCTTTATTTTATTTTAGA